AAAAGGATCAGAATGCTTCAATTCGTACCTTGTCTACTGGTCCATTGTGACAAAACCCTAGCTTCTGATTGGTTAAAAAAATGAGGCTTCTCCAACAACCAGAAGCTTACAAATTCATACGATTTTAGAGTAATGGGTAAGATGTAGTCCCTGTTCCTACAAAAAAGAATAAAAATTGCTCACCAACCTTGCCAGGGTTAAATTGTCTATTGCTCATGAAAATTCATGAAAAAAAAAATATGTCCTTCTGATGCGCCACTTGACAAGGTAAAAAGTTCAGCAATATATTTCTCACCGAAATTTTACATCAAACACATTGGTTACGTCAAATGTTTCCCAATTCAACTCTGAAGCGACTAATTAATATTTTCTATAGTTGTCATTTTCACCTTTTTGCACTTAATAGACTCAAGTCTGGGAAAGTGAAATTAGTTGTTAAATTTTTCTGAGTGCTTTGCTGTACGGAAATTTTTTCAACGTTCTGAATTTTTCAAAACAGTTTTTAGCTACTGCCGTGTTAGTCCCACGGTGGGACTAAAAGGTAAGGTGATTTTTTTGGGACTAAAATCTGATTATCTGCTGAACTCTCATTACAATGATTATGACAATAACTAATTTAACCTACGCTATTTTTAGATTCCTTCTTCAGCAAAAAAAAATTAATTCTACTTATTTTTGTGCGAACCATAAGCATTAATTTGTCACATAGAAGTTGATTTTGGATTCTTTTAAGATGTTCACAGCGCTCTGACACAAAATTTTCTACTTGTGTGATAACTATGGAGATCTTAATTTTTAAATTTCAATACAAATGAACTGTTAAAAGAGTTTCCTGTCAATAGGTCAGTTGCGCTGGTCACAGAATCGTGTTTTGATGCTTGGTTCTTGTAATAATAATATCTATCAAAACAGCAACATTGTATGTCCAATATAAACCAAGATGTCACCTTTTGAAAAATTCGCTTTATGACGTCAACCACAACAGTAGTGAAACGCTTGATCTCTCCCCGAATCTTCGCTTTATCCGGCCTCTCTTGTTGAGTTAGCTGCACCCATCACGTAAGTAATGGCATAATTTTCATGGTACCTAAATGCATAGAGTGTAGAAGAACCGTAAGGACCAATTCTGAACGAAATAAAAATCAAGACCTTGCAGTTGCAACGCGATTCGGGTCATTTTAACGAATTTTAAATCGTGAAGCTGGCAACGCTGCAACTCTAAAATGTTCAAATATGCTTTTTCTTATCGAAAACTCTCAGATTGCACATTTTTCGTGAAATTTTGAAGGAAATCACACCTCAAAACCTTCATTTTATCATCAAATTCGATATTTTTGAGTCCGCAACTTGGCAACGCTGCCGCGGGGGCAAAAAATTCTGTATGGGCATGAAAATTTCAGAAAAGTCACATCTTATACCAGGTTAATACATACTAAAAGTTCAGATCGGTCACGGCAGGGATGAGGGAGAAGAGGTTTAATTTGTCGCCCCATGCCCAGTGTGCTATTTTACCCTTAAAAAACCACAAAAATACAATTATTTTTCAAAAATCTCGAACCCTCTATTTCAAAATTGGCCAAAAACCCATGAGGCACTACAACCTATGATTTGAATTTTTTATTTTGAATGGAAATCACACTTCGAAACCTTCATTTTGTCATCAAATTCGATATTTTGGAGTCCGCAACTTGACAACGCTGCCGCGGGAGCAAAAGAATTTGAATGGGCATGAAAATTTCAGAAAAGTCACATCTTATACCAGGTGAAAACATACTAAAAATTCAGATCGGTCAAGGCAAGGATAAGGGAGAGGGGATTTAATTTGTCGCCCCAAGGCCAATTTTGCTATTTTACCCCTAAAAAACCACAAAAATGCGACTATTTTTTGAGGAGCTCCGACAACCTATTACGAAATTGCCCAAAAACCCATTAGGGAGTACCCCACTACAACCTCCAACTTAATTTTTGATGTACATTCAAGTCGCATTAAAAGTGAGTTCAAGCGCACCGTGCCTTGCTTTCATCAATCAGTGAGACACGCATTTCCCGCCCGGCAAAATTACGTTGTGGCAACGTTGCCAAAACGTTGCAATTTCGCCGTTTACGTATTCGGGCAACGTTGTGGTAACGTTGCCACAACGTGTAATTCTGTCAGCTTGCATGAACGTAATTGGCAATGTGTCTGCAATGTGTTTTAGCAACATAATGGGAATGTTGCAAAAATACGTTTTAGCAACATAATGGGAATGTTGCAAAAATACGATGAAAAAATTTCGGTGATTTATTTAAGGAGTACTCAGCATTTTTACGCCTAGAATTCAATGTGGACCGCAAAGAAGTGTTTCATAGGCACCCGAGATTCACTCTAAGTCCGATAGTAGCCGCGCTCCGCCCGGGTTCCCAAGCGGGCTCCCATCGAAGTACTAACTACGCCCGACGTTGCTGAACTTCAGTGATCGCCCGTGTGTCGCTGCCACTCAGCTACGGACGCTCGCGTGAGAGAGATTGGTTATTTAGCATTAATAAACATCCCTAGATCTGGTTCAATGATAGAAAGCAATGATATTCTTGCATTTCTGTGCATAATTCTACAACGAAGGATACTGAACATAATATTAGGAAGATCAAGTTTTTAAAAAAAAAGGAGTATGAAAAAAAAATTAAAAAAGAATTGAATAAATATAGTCATTTTATATAAATAAAATTATTATTATTTTAATTATTTATTTAATTATATTATAATTATTTTTTATTATTATAATTATTTGGTATTTTTATTTTGTATTAAATTATTTTCTAATTATTTATATTTATTTTTATTATTTTATTTTTTATTTTTAAATTATTTTTTTATTTTTTTTAATTTTATCTTCATTTGTATATTTTTGTTGTTAATTTTTTTATTTTTTTAATTATCTATCAATTAATTTTTGTTTATTTTTGTATATACATATACATATTTTTGCGACATCGTATGAGGGTGCATTCCCTTATATTGATTGGAGAAAATCATCTGTTGAGAAACAACAGAAAGGAGAACACCTGAAACAGTGTAAAAGTGTCCCCTCCGATTTGCAGCACAGCATCTGCCTGACCTCATATCTGAGTTCTACGACCAAAATTACACAGGGATTGATACCTCACATGACACTATATGCGCATTTTAAAAAACCGAAATCGCAGAGGCCTTATTATGGCCGCCATTTTTAAATTTAGGCATTTTGGGGGGTGTTCCGGGGTCGGACCGTGGTAAACTTTTAGTATGTTGTTCAGGAGGACCTACTGATGACGTTTACATAGGAAAAGTTTGTTAAGCAATTTGTTCCGGGTCAAATCGTGTTTCTCCCTGACTAATAATGTTTAACAACGTTGTCACAATATATCTAAGAATTATTTATTGAAACGTTTTTTAATAATGTTCCAGAAACATTTCTAAAAACGTTTTGAAAATATTGTCTAAAATATAATGTCAGGCAACATTGCTGAAACATTGCTTAAACGTTGCTGCTTTACCTTTACAAAGCAATATCATCAAAAATGTTGCCTTGCAACGTTGCGGCAACGTACACATTGCTCCCTTGCCGGGCGGGTTGGTTATTCAACGTGAAACTCGGATAAAAGTAAGGTGGTACAAACCAAGGGTGTCTCTGCTGCGGAGGATGACATCAAAAACCAAATTTTTTAAAGCGCCATATCTCGGTGAATATTGAACATAGAAAGTTACTACTTGGACAGATCTATTTTTTTTTTTCAGCAATTTCACAAAAATTAGGCATCAAAACACGATTTCGTGACCAGCGCAACTGACCTCATCTGAAGAAGCATGAGAAACAAAAAAGATATCTAATTGGTGGCTTTTTACTTGAGATGAAATAAAAATCTTATATATTTAATATACTAAGGCTTTATTTGTCCTCCTTCAGTTTGTGCTAATTCGATCTCGGAAACTACTGGACCGATTTTCCTCGGATTTGTTTTAAATGAAAGCTCTTAGGCTGTAGATGTGCCAACATCCCTTGGTTTTTCGATTTGCAAAACAGATGTTGCGAAATTTACCTCGATTGATGACGAAATATCTGCGTTTTTGCCGCTGGACAGTTTGTGCTAATTCGATCTCGGAAACTACTCAACCAATTTTCCTCGGATTTGTTTTAAGTGAAAGCTCTTAGGCTGTAGATGTGCCAACATCCCTTGGTTTTTCGATTTGCAAGACCGATGTTGCAAAATTTACCTCGATTTGATAACGAAATATTTGCATCTTGGCCGCTGGACGAGTCATATGGTTGGGGGATCTCCCACCCTCTGATTTTTCGTTTCCCTCTCCACGTAAACCCATCCCTACCTGCCGATAACACGTGTCACCCTTCTACTCTGGCACAGGTCCTGTGGCAGTATACCTCCTTTCCTTATGTCGCCTGACTCGGAACACCTGCTACGTATTTCCTCCGTCGCATTGCTCATAATCAGTTCTCGGTTTGACCAGGTTTCTTATTACTGCGTCTAGAGTTTTGCTTTCTTGATTTTGTCTTTAGTTTTTTTTTACATGAAAATTACTTAATTTTCATGTGTATTTTTCAGAAGATAATTTTCCTTTTTGGGGCAGCACAGGTTTTATTAATAATTAACTTTTGTCAGCAGCTCATGTGTTCTTCCAAGAGAATCGGCAATTAATCTTCACCCTTTCGCACCGTTAAGTTTTCACAAAGTGTTTTGATTTTTTTTTTCCGGGAGTGTTTTTTAGTTTTCAAGGATGTTTCTTTTTTTAGAAGTAGTTGGTTATCATTACTAGTTTCTTATTCTTTGTTTTTGAATTTATTAACTTGCCTCCAGTAAGTCCACTAAATATTCGTAGTAGCAATATTTGACTCGCGAAGCGAGCCGACATCACTCGCGGAGCCAGTGACTGGGGGTCCTGGGGGCGAAGCCACCGGCTAGCAGCGCAAACGAGCGTAGCGAGCTGAAGCAGCTAGTTTCAGTTGAGGATTAAAATGTCTACTTACGATCCGAGCTGAGTTAGTTCATCTTCATACAGAACAAGATGGCGTACATCATCTGGTGTCAAATCCTCCAGAATTGAATCCAAATACTGACAGAGAGAAGAGAAAATGAGATTATGTTTAAATATTACTTCTAAAAATAAAACAAAGGCAGATCAAATCACAGAAAAAATTGTTTTCATTTTGATTCAGATGAGGTGATTGAAGGGGGAAATCAAAATGTTAACTAAGATTTTACTCCTGTGTACTTTCCTTGTAGCAAAATCAACATTAAGACTGCCAAACTGTGCATCTCGGTTAGCAAAATTGCAGACTTCCTCTCATTTTTCATTTTTAAATGGAATATTTCTCAACGGAAATTTAACTTCTTAACAGCAAAAATTTTGGTCCCAAATCGAAAAAATTCCGAAATAAACAGGATTTTCCCAAGAAATTCTGTGAGAGTTTCTCAACATATGGGAGAGCGCACATACATATGGAGAAGCGCGCCTCTCGAAAAAAACTTTCTAATTGATGCCACGTCAAATGCACTAATGAAAAGGAGGGTAAACATGGACACTATGTATCACAGGGATTCTACATTTTTCATTCCATATTATTACCAAATCAGAGGTTTTCCACGCACTGCCATTGACCATCATGTGCAAACACTTCACATGGTAGAAAAACACTCACAGCTGGTCTTAACGAGTTTAAATGTTTTGACAAGTCACAAGCAAAAACTCTTCAGGTTCTTGAAGTAGAGTGTCTACTGAGTCATTTAAGCCAAAAAGAAAAAAATTCTGTCGAGCTCCTGGAAAATAAAGTCGATTTAAAGGTATTTTTGGGCTAAAATAGCCAAATTACCCATAGCAAGGCCCGTCATATTATTTAAAAAATTGTTTTCTTCCTGGGTATAATGCCCAAGTTTCTTAAACATGCATATTTTAAGCCTCCGATTACTTAAAATACCAATTTTGACCATGTGGTAAATTTTGGGGGCCTAAAATGAGCCCTCAGAGCCAAAAATTGCGTACATTTTCGAAAACTTCGGATTTTCAGGGTTTTTTTTTTTTTTTTTTAACGTTGTTTTTTCTACAGTCGTCAATGAGTAATTCTGAAGGGCATTTTCGATTACATAATGGACATTTTGACTGTTCAGGTGAAGGGGAGGGGGGGCATCAGGCTTTGCTTTGCCATTCTCACAGTTTTTGAAAACGCTTGAAAGTTCCCTATTACATTGGAAGTTCAAAATATCCATTTTTAATTCATTAATTACTGCTTCTGATATTATGAAATATGCAGCAGGAGTTACTGCCCCCCCCCTTCCTCCTCACTACGAGATGCATGGAAACCTTGATCTTACTGCGCGCGCTACGAAAACGCTTGAGAGTTCCCTAATACATTGGAAGTCCAAAATATCCCTTTTTATTTCATAAATTACTGCTTCTGATATTAAGAAATATGCAGCAGGAGTTACTGCCCCCCCCCTCCTCCTCACTACAAGATGCATGGAAACCTTGATCTTACTGCGCGCGCTACCGGATCCTTGCTTTTCGCGTGATGGCAGTCCGTTGTAAAGTAGATCCAGGCATTTGCAGGATAAACTTGTAGCATAAACATGTCCATTTATATGTAATGCTAAAGACCGCCAAATGTTTTATTGCAAATGCCCGGATCTACTATACAACGGACTGCCATCACGCGAAAAGCAAGGATCCGGTAGCGCGCGCAGTAAGATCAAGGTTTCCATGCATCTCGTAGTGAGGAGGAAGGGGGGGGGGCAGTAACTCCTGCTGCATATTTCATAATATCAGAAGCAGTAATTAATGAATTAAAAATGGATATTTTGAACTTCCAATGTAATAGGGAACTTTCAAGCGTTTTCAAAAACTGTGAGAATGGCAAAGCAAAGCCTGATGCCCCCCCTCCCCCTCACCTGAACAGTCAAAATGTCAATTATGTAATCCAAAATGCCCTTCAGAATTACTCATTGACGACTGTAGAAAAAACAACGTTAAAAAAAAAAAAACCCTGAAAATCCGAAGTTTTCGAAAATGTACGCAATTTTTGGCTCTGAGGGCTCATTTTAGGCCCCCAAAATTTACCACATGGTCAAAATTGGTATTTAAAGTAATCGGAGGCTTAAAATATGCATGTTTAAGAAACTGGGGCATTATACCCAGGAAGAAAACAATTTTTTAAATAATATGACGGGCCTTGCTATGGGTAATTTGGCTATTTTAGCCCAAAAATACCTTTAAATCGACTTTATTTTCCAGGAGCTCGACAGAATTTTTTTCTTTTTGGCTTATATGACTCAGTAGACACTCTACTTCAAGAACCTGAAGAGTTTTTGCTTGTGACTTGTCAAAAAATTTAAACTCGTTAAGACCAGCTGTGCACTTGGAGCACTTCCCGAATTTAGGGCAATTTTTTTCATCAAATATTTCTTCAACTTTTCCAATTAAATTTACTCTAATTGCATTTGATTGCGTAGAGGGCTTACTATTCGATAACATCGCACATATCCTTTTAATTCGTCAAAAACTAGTAGTTTCCGGGTACCTCCGGTGGGTGAGAATTTTCTGTTTTGACCAATTCATTTCTCCCGCTTATCATAAAGTGATTCCTCGCGAAAAAAAAATCGATCCCAAGAAATCAGGTATTAACTGTCACAACAAGCATCAGGCAGGGTCAGATAGACACAATCATCGCAGAGAGGCGCGGGCCGCACAGTTGTCGCACAGAACTCAACATTTGAGCAGAAACCGCTTGTACCAGAAACCCGCTTATGACGTAACATTTGGCTGATCCCAATGCCTTCCGTTAGATGCGGTTTCCACTGTAGCTGCGCCACAGTTATTCTTAGGAAGTAAAGGCGTACTTTTGCTATTTCAATGAGCCAAATTGCTGAAAGAGATCCATGTTTGTGATATTCCTCCCTCAGCTGAGACTGATATCTCATTCGAATGCGTTTTAAAGAAAGGGTTGATCCCTGTAAGTGATACATCTCCTTATATTTTTTAATGTATCTACAAATGATGGCATGCTCCTGTCACAAGATCTTTATGATACCTATTGAGAGTCTTCAAAATAGGTATTAAATACCAAACGACTGTAAAAAAACAGCCTCTATGTTGCGGGTGACATGCAGCTTTGACAGCGCTTAAAACAGACAGCGTTATGGTCATTTTGGAAAAATTTAGGTCAATGTCTGTTGTCATTGCCTAGATGTTCAACCTTTTGAGGCCTCTATTTTGCTTTTTTCATTATTGTTGTTTTTTTCCCAATAGCTACGACTCTTAAAAAATAAAAAGGAATTTTAATTCTTACGTAGTAGGCTGCAACAGACTCTGCAAATTTTGTTATTGGTAAGAATGTTTCTGGGATAGCCTTTGCAGAATAAATGAATTAAATATTTTTAACATACATTCCATATTTACCAAAGCACTACATAGTCAAATTACAGTCAACACAAAGACTGATTTCTACAGACTATTCAAGAGATGTAATGCAAACAGGTCTTCTTCAATAATCTTTTAAATCTTTTAAATAGAGTCAAATTCACTAATTTCCTTCTTCTTTACTAGTGCTTGAACTGTTTCACATTTTTGCTTCTCTTTTGTTTCCCTTGAGTATTTTTTAACAATCTCATCATTCAATTTTGTCTTTTGAAATTGCAATCAAAAAGAAAAGTAACAAAAAAATGGATTATTAGATCCTAGGGATTTGAAATATATTTTACCCGGCAGTCAATTTTAGAAATTTTCAGGATTTAAGCCCCCTTTTTTTCTTGTGAAAAATAAATGATAACACCATAGTAAGGAAACTTCAAAAATTAAAACTACTTGTAAAAAAATTGTGAGATTAATCTTTCGGAGAGCCTTAAGTTATGGAAAACATCCTACTTGGCGGCAGATGACATTGATAAGGTGACAGTAAAATTAAATCGCATATGCAAACGATGTCCATTTTTTGGACTTTGACTCTTTTGGCTCGACGTCGTCTTCAAGGGTAGGTGCATCTGTGTGTAGATGGATTTGACCTGTATTTGGGTTTTCTGCCTCCATTCAGGGGGCCGAATCTCAAAATTACGCGAAAACGTCCGATGTCCATTCAAAGTCCAGTCATTTGGGATTTTTATGCGCTTTTGGGAGTAGAACTTTTATTTTCACCCGATTTCTCAGCTATAGAGGGTCCTAAACGAGAGCCCAGATTTACCCCCTCGACAAATTATGTACACCCCTCTAGAAACCCCTTCCAAAATCGAAAAAACTGTCAAAAATTGGTTATACAGGGTGTCCCAGAGCATCCGTACCAGGCCTTTTTCTCGATTAGTTTAGGTCGGACGAAGTCGACAACCGCAGGGTTGAATAAGGAATCATTCCCAAGGATTCCGAATTTCATGGACTCAAAACCCCCCCTCCCCCCCAGCTCCCCTTTCACGATTCTAAAAGTCGGGGATCTCGATCGAATTTCGATTCGGTTTCATTAGAATTGAAAAGTACGAAAAATTTCACGTGTAATTGACCCCTAAAAATTCAAAATAGACCACTTTATGCCCAAAAATGATCCCTTAAAGAGGAAGATCCCCTAATGATACCCATGTACACACCTTATTATCACGCTTTATTTAGGGGCAAATAAACTAAGCATACTAGGTAAAAAGGTCCATGCGAAAGGAAAGAGGGTTATATAAGCAGTAGATACGACCCAGAGCAATGGTTTTTGTTATTTGGATGAGCAAGTGAGTGGAGTGGTTGCGTGAGCTGCACCACCCTGGAAAATGATTTTGGAGACTGTATCTTTGGCAACGCTCGGATGCCGTCTCGTTACGCTCTAAGGACAAGCTTGTTAAACGACATTGTAGTGTTTTGAAACTACTTTCATTTGGAAGGATGTACTTATCTTAAAGAATTTCTGAAAAACAGTTCCAGGCACATAACCATTAAGAAGCGAAATTTTGAAAATTTTGGGTTTTCTTTGAGAACCTTGCAATGAGTGCAATTTTCATAAGAAAAATTTCAGACCAGATTAAAAATGACCGCAATTTTAACTGCTTTCAAGTAAGATCCACATGCCTAGTTAGAAGCAGCGGTTTTTGCAATACTAGCCGATACGAAAAACAAGGGAATACAACCAATTTTTGACAGTTTTTCTATTTTGGAAGGGGTTTTTGGAATGGTTCCCAAAATTTTCTAGAGGGCAAATTTGGGCTCTCGTTTAGGACCCTCTATAAATGAAAAAGTAGGTGAGAAAAAAAGTTCTGCTCTCAAAACGTGCAATATTACCTGAACAGCAAGAGGAAATAACAGATTTTTTACTGTTTTTTCGACTTGGGGGGTTTTCACTTTTCAGAGGGTTCCCATGAATTGAGGACACCGCACCAAGAACAGCCTATAGGCGTATAGGTTGTTATTACGCCCATCTGCTTTTCGGATTCTACGTACCCTGGACTATGCTGTGGTAGCGATAGAATGTAGAGAGGTAACGGCTCGAGGTCGAAAAACCTTTTTTTCCGAGTTACGTCAGGCCTCTGGATCGATGGGTGCAAGAACGACCTATAAATGGGCCTATACACTTAAGGGCCTATAAGGTGCTAGTTACCCCTTTCTTTACTCACTATCTATATTCTTTCATTTTGCGTTAATCATACGTGTTTAAAATGATTTATACTTCATATTGCCACCAAAATGACTGTTGGGCGTAATAATGGCCTATAAACCGCTTTTTTAAATTAAATATATTAGAGTGTAAACCCAAAATGTATCGCAAAATCTACCCGGCATCCTTCAATAGAAGGGTTAGGTCACCCAAAAACACCAAAACAGGGTACCTGCATAGAAAAGTCTGCGCACTACATCGAAAACAAAACTTTAAATGCGTTTTTCTCAAAACGCGGTTTCCAGTTATAGGCTGTTCTTGGTGCGGTGTCCTCAATTGTCAAAGGGGCAAATTCGGATTCTTGATCAGGATCCTCTGAAGATAAGAAATCAGATGAGAAAAAAGTTCTGATCTCAAATCGTGTGGTAGTAGCAGAACAACAAAAGAAAATAACTAGTTTTTTACTACTTTATCGATTTGGGGGGTTTTCGGGAGGTTCTCATGATTTGTCGAGGGGGCAAAGGACCCTGCACACCTCTTATGGGAAGCTGCACCATGACCGATTGCCTTATGACTTATGTCATTCGATTCTCCTCAAGATGCTGATCAAAAGTTATAATTGCGCCAACTTTCTACGATGCACCGTTTTCACAAAATTTCAAAGAGAAGATTCAATTATTCGGCGAATATGAATAAAAAAAAATAAAGCATTTGAGGACAGGCCCGATGTAAATAAGGAAAAAACGTAGCGCGTGTCCGTCTTCTCATCTGTACCTGCCGACTCAGGGGCTATCTCCCTCCCGCACTCGCCCGGTAGACGTTCAGACTTTCCTGTTCTTATGCTCCTCAAGAATCAGATTTGGATGGTCGAGGAAAACGGCTTGTGGAATCCGAGATAAGACTGCCGCTTGGTGCAGTTAATTGCCATGATTTCCTTGTTGACACACAGCCGCATGTCAATCGAGCACTGAAATGAGGAATCTCTCTGGCTTTTTGTCACCGAATAATTGAATCTCCTCTTTGATTTTTTGCAAAAACGGTGCATCAGAGAATGTTGGCGCAATAATAACTTTTGATCAGCATCTTGAGGAGAATCGAATGACATAAGACATAAGGCAATCAGTCATGGTGCAGCTTCCCATGAGAGGTGTGCGGGGTCCTTGGGATTCTCATTGAGTATCGTTTAAAGATTAATAATTTCACTTTAATCTATAGAATTTCTCGATTTCATGTATTCTGAGGAATCCTGAACACATTTCTTGAGGGGCGAACTCAAATTATGCTAAAACGTCCGATGTCCATTGTTTTTCTTCTTCCGCCCTCACGTAACATTCATTGAAGCCTCCAAGAAAAAAGAAATATTTTTTTCTGTGTCATTGGAAGTCTGACACAATGTTTAATGCTAATATATGGGTTTTTGAGGGATTGAAAATAATGATTTGGGGCAGATTTTTGCAACTTATGAGAAAACATCCGATGTCCAGTGCCTTTTTTTTTTTTAAAATTACTCAGCACTAGGTGGGAGTTGGGATGGGAACAGTTGTGTGCCTTTTCGACAACCCTTTACTAAGATACACATGCCTTCACTTTCTTCAAAATGCCGCTTCTAAAGGCTTCCACAATATTTTGCGGGTTACCAGAAGCTGATTTTTTGGACATCAGACATTTTCACATACGTCGATTCAATTATCCTCCTTACATCTTCTCTGCTTTCCATTTGGGTGAAAGCCATCTGCTTTTCTCGTTCAGCATTTGAGATCAGGGTAGTGAACAATCTTTTGTCGTGGCATAAACTGGACTTTATTCCTAAGGCCTTTTTCACTTCAGCCTGTCAACAAAAGAAAAAATGACAATAAAAAAATTGTTGGTCAATTTATTCCATCAGTATTGATATTTGAGCAATGGTCTGAATAGCTCCTCTTTCTGCACAGTGGAGGGGTCACTTAGCAACAAAAGAGAAGGGTCCAGCTTCAATATAAAATTATATAGGAACATAGGTTGCCCCAAAAAAATGGAGACTGAAGCTGTGACTTTTGAACCAAGAAAGTTAGAGAATTGTTGTTGATTTCATTTCAAATAGTTGGCGGGGTACCCAAAAAAATCCTGCACTTTTTGATTGACAATTAGGTTTACTATACGAGTATTTCCTAAACAATTTGCTAAGTTATGAAGGTTTGAAAAAAAAATTGTCTTACCTCTACCATTTCTTGCAATGGTTTTTCCCTAGAGCAATATCTTCTATTACCATATTTTGAAATCTTACGGAATGAAGTAACTTGGCAACATTAAATACGACTTGGTAACACTAACCCTAATTAGGCTGTGTTGTCTGATTGTAGGCAGGACCATAGCAAACATAGTGTTTGCAAAATCAAATAACGCTTTACCTATTAGACATTGCAACCATTAATTTGTATCCCTCCAAAAGTTTCTTGAACGATAATAGGTAATATATTTGAAAAATTCATTTGGGCCACAGAAATTCTGGCTAGCACCTAAAAATTAGGCTTGCCAGCCAAAATAGCTTCTAAAATTTTACCCTGAACTAAGGGCTGTGTTAAGCTTGAGTGTTCAATTTTTTTATTCTGTGTAAGGGTCTATTTTTGACATACTTATCCAAAATCATTTTGGTAAATACAGAATTCTACAACTGACAAGGCAGAAACTACACTTACCAGAGAGGTTCCGGAAAGTTTAGGTGGTATTTGAAAACCGACAATGTTCATTAAGTCTTTGACAAGAGGGCCTTTGACAGCTAAGTCGAGCGGCGAGGAAGAATGTAAAGACGGTGAGATATTCACCTGGGAATCAGAGAGTAATGCAAAGGTTAGGCTCTTTTATTTTATCTCAACATCAAAGAAAATAAAAGAAAAGTCAATAAAAGCCACAGAATGAAAAAAAGTCCAAAGCTGATTATTACAAAAATTATAAATAACTGTTTTCCTTGAATGGCAGCTGGACGAGTATTGGGCTGTTCTGCATGGATTCAGTGCAACTGTTCAGTATTATCACTATTACCGTACTATTGTCAAAAGCAAGACTACTGTAAATCTCATCTAGATTTTGCTATTGCTTTTTTAAAGGAAATACTCGGTTACAAAAAAACCAGGTGACCCTGATGCTTCACTTTCTCCAGATTTGGTTACTACTGAATGGTGCAATTGAGTAATCCTGAAAATATAGAGGATGTGTGTTTGCTGGTTTCCTTGTGATGGAACATAGTGTCACAGAATGTTCGATTCCGATCGAACAGACTTAGGGCAATTTTAGGAAATTTTGTAACACACACTTTTTATCCCCCCCCCCCCCCCCCCTACACTCATTGAGGTCTTCTCATTTTTTCGATATTATTTAACCACCCATTCCTTTCATACTGGGTGTCCGTAAAGTAACTGAAAAGTGTGTATAATTTTTGAACAAAAAAAAGATAGAAGGCCGCGGTTTGTGGCATTCTTCATCGTTCAAAAAGGGAAATTTTTCGATGGGGGTTTTTTCCTTGGTGGACCCCCCTGGGGGGCCCCAGGGGGACAACTTTTAAAATTCAAATAGCAACCCCCATTTTTTTAGACATGGTTAGAAAGAACTTGAAAAGACAATAAGAATGGCGGAAAAAAAATTAAAATCGGTTCACTCACTCAAAAGTTATAGCCGGTCAAAATTTTAAATTGACCACTTTTCAAAAAATCGCCGTTGAGCTCAAAATTATCAAAAAAACAAAAACAAACCAGGAATGAAAAGTTTGAAAAGTGCCTTTTAGGAAAAGGAAAAACAACTGAATACAATACAACTGAATACAAACAACAAAATAAAATTTCGGAAAATTCAACGTGGCGGCAAATTTGAGGAAATGCGAAAAATGAAAATTCCAGAAACTGTTATCTATCAAATACCCTCTAGTTTAAGGAAATCAAAGGTATCAACTTTAATTCCTTTAGTTGGCCAAGAAAGAGCAATAATTTGCTGACTTTAAAGTTATCAAGCGGGGCACCTTAAATCGTTGGAGTGTGCAACATCACAGGATTAAGTGTGCTGTCAAAAAATGAAGCCGATGTGAAAAAGCGCTCCTCCTTTGGGATGCCTCAGAAATTTTCAAGGTTTCAAGGTCGGACAAATGTACCCAACATGATTAGAACCATCAATTATAATGAACTTTCACAAGCAGAATCGATTTATAACGATGACGAGTCAATATATCGATCTGATATACATAATTTTAGTGATTTTTCAAGGAAAATCGATGGGTTTTTTTTTTAATTGAAATTGGAGAAATCTACCAGAAATGACTGTAGCACATCCATTCAGTCGTGATCATTCTCGTGAAATCAATTTTTGAGGTCGACTAGTTGATATATCGATCGGTCATATTGACTTATTGCGATGTTTATGGAAAATCGATGATTTTGATCGGGAATGAAATTGGTTAGTCTCAATCCGAGGATGAAGATGTGTAGCTAGCATAGCTGGAACACACCAATTTCCACGTATCTTATCCTAACCGATTTTTTGCGATTTTTTATGGAAAACCGATGGTTTCTTGAAATTGAGATCATTTTGATTTTAATCAATGCAGGAAAGAAGGAACGCACCCTACACGACTAGATTTATTTCTCATTTTGCAGAACTAAATCTGTTGAGAGTGTGAATATGAGTAAATGAATAACAACACTTAGAATAATTTAAGAAGGACAAACACATACCTTTTCACGTAGCAGTATGAGAATTTCGCAGACTAGCATATTTTAGGCAAGATTGAACTGTCCCTCGAATTGGTCGAATATGACCGATCAATAGATCGACTCGGCGACGTTAAAAATCGAGTCTACGTGTAAGAGGACGTAAGAATTGATGTGTTCCAATCATGTCAGCTGCATCTCTCCACCCTCGGATTGAGAGTAAACAATTTCATTCCTGATCAAAATCATCGATTTGCCATAAACATCGCAATAAGTCAATATGACCAATCGATATATCAACTAGTCGACCTCAAAAAATTGATTTCACGAGAATGATCACAACTGAATGGATGTGCTACAGTCATGTCTGGTAGATTTCTCCAATTTCAATTTAAAAAAAAACCCATCAATTTTCCGTAAAAAATCACTAATATTATGTATATCAGATCGATATATTGACTTGTCATCGTTATAAATCGATTCTGCTTGTGAAAGTACATAAGAATTGATGCTTCTAATCATGTTGGGTACATTTCTCCGACCTCGGATGGAGAAAAACCGATTTCAAACCCGATAAACCATCGGTTTTTCCGCAAAAATTTGATACAACCAATCGAGTTATCGACTCGTCTACACTTAAAATCGATTCTACGCGTAAAAATAGTAAGAATCTATTTGTTCCGATCTTGTTGGGTACATTTCTCCGATCTCGGATGGGGAAAAACCGATTTTAATCCCGAAAAATCATTGATTTTCTACAAATAATCACAAAAATTCGAAAAATCGACTCGTCATCGTTAGAAATCAATTCAACGTGTCAACATACGAAGGATTCCGTGTGCTACAGTCATATCAGATGCATTTGTTCAATCACGAATCGAAAATAAACAATTTCCATCCCGAAAAATCATCGATTTTCCATAAAAGATCACTAAAAATCGATTTAACTGATCAGTGTATCGATTCGGCAACATTATAAACCGATTCTTCGTGTAAAAGTATGTAGGAATTGATGTGCTTGACTTGTGAAAACAACGATAAGAACCCCGTAGTCACATCAATTCAACAAGAAAACAGCATAAACTAAGGCCGGATTATGACCCCTTCCCCCCCCCCCCCCCGGTAACTCGAAAACGGTTCCTATACTCATCTTGAAATATTTTCCTGAGTTTTCTGTTATAATAAGCTTCCATTTAAACCTTGGTCCGATGGTCGAATCGAATACCGAAAAAGGGGCGAAATTTTGAGAGGCTCTTTCATTGTTTCCAAGTGGCCTCCAACCTTCAATAGTACTCGAATTTGCTATTCTGAGAGGAGCGTGCATCAATTTTCCACTCTTTTGTTTTCGAGACGCAAAGCGCGAAAAACAGCGACCTATCACATTGTGCGCCCAGGGTAACTCATTTATTATTCCACCTTTTGCACACCGCAGCCCGCCTCCCAGATTTGCACGTCTTGAAAGGTGTCCTTTACCTTCACTTAGATTGAAAGTGCCCTTCCAAACTATTGAATCACTCACCTTGAACACCCCTTTCATATTCCTAGCCTTTCCTTTATAGTTCCTTTATAGTTGCAAACAAGCCGAAAATGGCCGACGTTTGGGAAAGTTGTTTGGCTCATGACGTCATCCGAAGCTCATCATCGACCATGTAGGTAAGTCAACAGCCGAAAATAGGGTGATGACTGTTGCTCGCTAATAATTGTCCACAAGGAATTGTTGAAACCCCGAAAGTAAAAGCTTCCACCTGTCGCTAGGAGGCCAGTGGAGGGTCTCTTGTCTCTGCTGGCAACGTACGCAACTACTATTTTCTATTGTTTTCCAGTGACTAGCGGCGGGTATGTTGCTGCCGGACCACCTCCACGTAGGCAATTTTTTATACATCGTCCGTCCGCAACTCTCGCTTAGCCAATCAGCGCAGTGGTATGGGAATCCCGCTCGTCACGCACTCTCGCGCAACTGCTTGCTCGCGACTCAACTTCAGTTTCAACTCTTCCCTATCCAGTCGGGCCTCTAACCTTCTATACTCTCTGCGTTTTTAATGATACACGGGGATACGAGCAGCAAGGAGATGGCGCTCTCGGCGGGCGGGTGGTGAACTATTTCCAGCAGGGAGATTTGCCCGCCAAATTTAAAATTTGGGCGATGCTAAGCGAAAACCGTTTAGTTTTAAGACTATTTAAACATCGAATAGTCATTCTACCCATTCAAGTAGATTTTTGATGGCTTTTGACCGAGCTTAAGGAAAGATTATAATATATAATCGTATCTGAAGTATGATGTCAATGAATCTAATGGATCCTAATGAATCGTAGAAAAGCTAGGATTTTTACTGATCGCCGTCTTTAATAGGAGGCATCATTAATCAATTACATATTTAATTGAAGATGCCTCATAATATCGACAAGTCGAGTCCAAATATATGAATTCATCACTTATCACAAAGATTTTTACAATAAAGTTCAGTGGTTTGAATAAAAATTTCATAACTATTATCCTGCTATCAAAATTCCAATCAAACTTTATGATTTCGTGAAATTGGCGGTATTTTTCTAAATATTCCAGTAAAAGTGTCGCCCCCCCCACATGCCGGCGCGAAGCGCCGGTATTTTCTTTTATGGTCAATTCTTCAATTTTGTTTTCCTTCTTTATTTATGTTCCAACAAAAGGAGAAAGGGAGAATTCAAACGCCGATACAAACGAGCTACGTTGTTTTAGTTAAGTTCTTAATTTTTTTTATTGGATTGGAACCTCTGCTTAGCTTACCTGATCATAAAAAGGGCATCATATTGTCCGCTAAATTTGCGTTAATTCTCGGCATTTTGGAACCGTCAATTTTATTCGACGATCTTTTTCACCACATTGTCAGTGAAAAATTCTATAAATTCTTTTTTAAACAAGTTCTTACGTTAAATTTTGAAGTTTAGATTTCATAAGTAAGTAAACCAAGTAATTTGAAAAGCTAGCCTCGTAATGAAAACAATAATTTGTTGAATGCGGAATAGTCCCCTCAAGATAGAAAGTGAAAAAAAAAGGAGAAAAACAAATGTTGCAAGGGGAAAGAAAGGATTTTATTTTTTACTAAAATCAGGAAACTACTAACCACTAACATAATTTTTTTCGCGCAGAACTTACTTTCTTCTTTTAAGGCTAACTTTCAATTTAACATGCCCCTTATTCAAATAAGAAACATACAAATAAAACAGAAAAATATGAAGCTCCCGCTTCAGTTGCAATTACTTTCGCATTGTCTTTCCTTTTTAATTATTATTTCAATTTTTAAAATAGCTATACACCTTAAAAACACGGACGGTTAATGATCTTGGTTATAGGTGAAATGATTCCTGCAAAAATAAACCTTACAGAAACGGAAGAGGAAACCAATTAGACAGAATAAAAAATTCGGGCATTTTCGGGCGAGCCGAGGAGTGAAACGTCGGATCCCGACGAGGAGCCGCTGGGTCAGCGCTGAGCTCACCGCGGTATTGTTCCCATTGTGTCCACGCCGGGCCTTTACCTGGCGGCCGGACCCTTGTCATGAAGGCCCTCTGACTGCTGGTGGACCAAAAATTGCACACCCTTTTTTTATCATCGGTGAATTTTTCCTTCATTTCAACGGATTCGGATTCAGCTTGCAATCCTGATGAAAAATGTGTATAATTGTAGGTAAGTATAAAGGTAAGTTATTGTATTACAGAACTTTTTTGGAGTTTTTGGAAAGCGCAGAAGGAATTCATGAGTGCTGTAATATAATAATGTACCATTATATTGACCTACAATTATATATATTTTTCATCAGGATTGCAAGATGAATCCGAATCCGTTAAAATGAAGGAAAAATTCACAGATTATAAAAAAATTGGTGTGAAGTTTTTGGTCCACCAGTAGCCAGAGGGCATTAATGACAAGGGTCCGGCCGCCAGATAAAGGCCCGGCGTGGACACAATGGGAACAATACCTCGGTGAGCTCAGTGCTGACCCAGCGGCTCCTCGCCGGGATCCAACGTTGCAATTCTTGGCTCGCCCGAATTTTTACTCTGTCTAATTGGTTTGCACAGACTATATGGGATGGACACACAGCAAAATCGGCACAGTGAAAGGACCCTGCCTGCACGGGCAGTTTGCCGTGAGTCCGACATACCCTCATTCTTTTTTGATTTTGCGGGAAGTTATTATCTTCTTGCAAATGATCTAAGCGCTGATGAGCAGCCAAGGGATCAAGCTGTCAATAGGAGAAAACGAAAACTTAAAATTCGAAAATCTCGCAGAGAGGCATGCCGTAGACTTGGAACGTAAATATCTCAGTTTGAATTTGATGGTTCATACGGCGTTCTTCCTTAGCACGGCAGCATAGGACAAGGACATCTTCCCGCTGTTAGTCAAGTCAAGTCCCGTCAACCGACAGCCCACACTACGGAAGCAGAGCTCTCACAGACCCAAAAAGCCCTGCCTGATTTTCTCGCCAAGTTGGACTCAGTACACAAGGATAAGGATTTTGGCTCTCTACCATTGGGAAAAGGACAACTCCCCGCTGTTTTCAAGTCCCGTCAACCGACGGTCCTTATGAAGCGAAGCATTTATTTGGCTCCTGCTTGCTCTACAAAGAAGTCTGACGTAATCTCATCACAGCTTTTTAAGTGCAGACGGGCTGTCTCCATTATTTGCGGCAAGTAATGAAAGGTAGGTATGCCCCAAGCGCTGCTTCATCACACTTCGTACTGACATTTATTTCTCCTTTTCAGGTATAACCACTAACCTTCACCATAGGCGTATTGCCTGTCTTACTTTTGGGCTATCCCAAAAAGAAATCTCCACTTATTGCATGTTTCATTCTCTCGTCAAATAGTGGAAGTTTCATGCAATCAGTTGACATGCTTTAATACGCACCTTCTGTGCTTATTAAAACGTATTTTGCATTACCTTCATTAATTATTCCAAATTCTCATTTCCCCCGCCTCAACCTAACCCCTAAATTGTGGAATTGAATCATTCTCTCTTAGCAGTTTCAAGCTCCATCAATTTAGCAGCATGCTTTAGAGCAAATCTTCCATTTGCATTTTAATGTTGTTTTCTTTCCCTCTTTCGGCCAATCATTCATTTTTTAGTCATTTTCACTACCCAACTATTTTCCTTCATTTTTTTATGGTTTGCTTCTTTTCCCTTAAAATAAGCTGGTCCCTCGGTTTCATTATATCCCCCCCCCCTTTTTTTGCTCGCTCCTTCTCTCATATCCAATTTCTCTCCTCCTCACCTTTTTTTCTAAGTTTTTTCCTTTTATATCACTCACAGAAAAAATTGGAAAAATCTAGAATGACTTTACAACATGCTTGCTTTCAACAACAGTCTTTCCTCTCTAATGCTCTAAAATTTCAATTCTTGTCATAGCCTCACCTGGAGATTTACTAGGCTACTTTCCATTGATGATTGGCAGGTGATCATCTCCATGCTAGATAAACCTGCTGTCTTTTGAATTTTCAAACGAAAACCCTGAATTTTTATTGTTCTAAAATTGCTTCCTGCCAGTGAGGCAAAAGTATTATCTTCTGTTTAGTTTCATTCATTTCATTAAAAATATATTGATCCCTCTTGATTTTTTCATGGCAGTATCACCATTGCTGACACTGGTTGAAACGAGTTGAGGGCCCTGGAAAAAGGAACAAACATTACCTCAAGTAACCATGGTTTGAGCACTTGATCGAACAGAATGTCGATTCCGAAGAGTTCATAAGAGCAGTATCGTGATGGAAGATTAGCTTGCGTCAGTTGATGGATTGATGACTCTCCGCAGATTAGTGTCTTGATAACAACATCTACTAGGCTAGCCCATAAGGTGCTCACATCGACCTTGTGTTCTCGTTCTAGATATGACCAAAGAGTTTTCAAAGTCCTGCAGACAAAGGAAACAAAATTTAAGTTATGACTCTGGGACTGAATGTAATGAAAACATACGCAGAAAAGTTGATTTGTTAAACCTGGAATCAAGGTTAGAACATTTAGAGGCACTTATGTAAAATAAATTCGATTTACGATGAAAACTTCTGGGGAGAATCTCTGTGTCACAGGGATTTATTGGATTTAAGGATTGAAATTCGAAAGCTGGATTCCCAGAATTGGATGCTTAAATAAATAAAAGACTGAGTAGTAAAAAAAAATGGCTCATTTTAGAGCAGATATTGATGGCCAAAGTGCAAAACCTCGTATCTCTACAGTGGTGTTTCAAAATTTTTGCTCCTATTTTAAATTTTTGAAAAGAAACAAACCAACTTTATGGTTTGAAATTTATACTGGTATAATGTATTCTGATAACTGAAAGGAAAAAGCAAAAAAAATTTACTAGGAATTACATTGTCTAGCTTTCCAAGGAAAAAATAAAGCATGACTGGAAGTCTGCAACGTCGTAAATGGAGATACGGGGTTTCACACTTTGGCAATTGATAAGAAGGTTCATGTAAGGTAGTAACACAAATAGACATTCTTCGCATGATTCAACTCCCAGCAAGAATGGAGATGTTGCATGTGTGAGGAATTTGCGATTTGACTGATGAATCTTCTGTAAAAGTTCACGAAAAACACGATTGTGCCACTGGTTTTCTCTGAAATCAACTTCCAGGCTCAAAAAAAGCTCTCAAGTTGAGGCCAAAATGGAGGGGATATCCCTTGCTATCCCGAGAGTCCATCAAGACACACAGAGTCCGCTCTACATCAAGACAACTCTCCATGCAAAGATAGGGAGCAAATACATTGACAGGGTGCCACCTCATTTGGGGACTCTTAAACTAAAACCACGGCAACCCTATCAATGTATTTGCTCCCTATCTTTGCATGGAGAGTGTCTTGATGTAGAGGTGGACTCTCAGGATAGCATGGGATATCCCCTCCATTTTGGCCTCAACTTGAGAGCTTTTCTTGAGCTTGGGAGTTGATTTCAGAGAAAACCAGTAGCATAATCATGTTTCTCGCGAACTTTTACGTATTAATCAATGGTCAAATCACAAATTCCTCACACATGCAACATCTTCATTGCACTATGCAAATAGGGCCTTGTCACAGGAGAGTGAAAAATTCCTAAAGGCATTTAATTTTTAATGGAATCATGAGAGGTTTTTGCCAGGGCTCCTCATTTTTTGCTGCAGCTATTCAATCTTTTACCTCTACTACATTCACAAGCGTTCCTATCTAACAAAAATTACTAGTCCTAAACCATTCCGCACATGTTCCTTTTCAAATCTCTGAGTTTAGGTACTCAGTTTACAAATGGGTCAATTATTCACTGAGTAACCCTTCATTTCTTCCTTTTCTTCTTCACCAAGGACTCAGATTTAAAAGACGTGAACCCGTCAGACTAAGGTTAAGCCCTACAGGATTATCACCTAAAGCCGGATCAAGATAAAAAAATTCAAGCACCCTAAGCGTGAAATCAAAAAGGCAATTATGGCGACTGGCTCTTTCAAAATGTTAAAAAATACGACAAATTTTTTTACCATTTGTGACCTTCACACGAGTCAGCATCTTGATTTTGAGTGTACTGACAACTTTCCTTGTTTATACTATAATTGGTCAGATGCATGTACCGCTCATTCAAGGTTGCTGCATCACTGGAGTACTTCACTGCACCATACATAATAAAACAAATTAGAGACAGAAAGAGAAAAATTGTTGAATATAAAATTAAGATGAACTTGTTTAAAACACAATCGTAGAAAAATCCTGATATTTATAACAGAGGAATTTCAATTTTCCTTGAACTATCATAAAGGTAAGCTGGAGAAAAAGTTTTTTGTTAGAATTTTGTTACCGCAATACAACATTGGTGGAGATTTTTAATCATCAAAAACTTTTCTTCTTGGAAGTATGGAAGCTCCAAGTTGACTTTGTGAGGGAGGAGGTGAAGGCAGAATTGCTTTGTACTGCAATTTTACTGCCAGGTTCCCATATGATGAAATCTTAGATACAATGATACATAACTGATCTTTGAAAAAAAGCTGTTGGGCTACAGAGAAAATAATAGGATGGATAGTCACTGTATGTTATCGTTCACGGGAAAAGGGATTTGCAGGGGATAAATCCTCAAACTAAGCAATATGTACCATAGTTTGGAAGAATTTTTTGCCAACATTTCGGCATGAAAATGCCTAAAAATGTCAAACAAAGCTGGAGCTGTGACAGTTTATAAAGCACAAATCAAAAAAACTTCTGGGAGAAATAGCTCTGATCCACTACGTTTAAGGCTGGAAAAAGACCACTAGACTGGGTAAGAAAATGAGTACTACAACAAAAGATTTCTAATCAAAATTTGATGTAGGACTTGTTGAACAAATCAAAAACTTTCAAAAGTAACTCACAAGTTTTATTTTATTTTTTATTTTTTACTTCAAATACCCAGGGGAAGGGGGGGGGGAGTAATTCTTCACTTACAGTTAATGTCCTCTTTCCCTCAGTCCCTAATCAATGACTAGCCGCAGATAACCATAATTTGAGACCATCAAATTCGGGTCGCCCGGCCAGGCATCGAACCTGGAGCCTCTTTGTCCCATTGCCGGCACTACCATCACTACAATAGATTTTTTTTTTTTTTTAATTTGAATTTAATTTATTTTCTTTTTAGAACAGAGGTATACAAAGCTTATAGACAAATAGTAACAAAAAAAAAAAACGACAATAAAACACCCACTAATGACACTTGGCCATCGTGTCAGGTGGAGCCTCTTTGTACGATTTTATTTTATTTCATTTTTTTCCTTCATTTTATTATTTTCCCCACTTCCGCCTCGCTTATCTCTCTCAGGAGAAATGAAATTGCTGATTTAACAATTTTGTAGTCAAAACAAGTGTCCGACATGTTTCAATGTAGATTTTACTATAAAAAATGCTAATTTAACCACCCTCATGGTTTAATTAGCTTTCCACTATTGTAAAATGGACATTTGAAACATGTCGGACATATTTTTGAACAATCCTATATATTAAAACACAAAGTTCCGAATCTTTGGAAGTTAACTTTTAGAGAGCCACCAGACCGATTTGCCTGATCTTTTTTTAAATGAAAGCCCCTGAGCTATAAATTTGCAGGCTGTAATTTGCTTTCCGATTTTCTCAAATTTTTTCCCATTACTGTCTCAAATTTTCTCCATTGTCTTAACCCTTACCTGCTCAGTGGTCAGTTATACTGACCACCTTTTTAAATAATTATTCATGGCCGTTTTGGCGCGACATACCCTTACCAACCATGTAGTTATACTTGGTATATGGTCCAGAATATGAAAAAAAATATTGCCGGGCGATGTTATGTTGGCAATATTGTTTTATCATCTATTGTTTACCTCCGATTCGTTGGAGGTTTGGTGCCGCCGGTGTTATCTCCAGTTTTGCGGTTGTCAGTTGCTTGTGCGACGCAAATGGTTCTGATTTAGTAGTAAAATATTAAGTTAGACTATAATGCTGCGAGAATGTCATTTGGCAATTGAAAAATTCAGAAGTTTTGATTATTTAATTCATGCTTGAACATGGTGGTTAGTATAACTGACCACCGTGCAGGTGGCTATAGGAGCTGGAACTGGATTCTTGTTGCTTTATTTTTTATTATTATTTTATCAGTAATTTTTATGATTATGTTCATTACTTTTAATTATTGACCAAAATTATTATTTTAAAATTGCTAGTCTTATGTGGGAAAGGACCATTATCGTTGCATTTTGAAGGAATGAATTTATTTTATTGTGACTAGTCTTTGATTGCCTCCTTACTTATTCCAGTTACGCTCATATGTTCTTCACTTCAAGCAGTTTTATATATTTCTGCTTTATTTATACTCTTTTATAATAAATTATACATTTTTCTAAGACTAGCTTCACTCAATTTCCAAAAACAGAGACTCTATCACTTACAAACATGTAAGAAAAAGTGAAAAACTTACAAAATCTACGGAGTCAACATTTATAATTCACTGGTAAAGTTAGTATGGAAGGTAAGGGGAGGTCTGCGAGGGAAGGGTTGGGGGCTTGGAGGGCAGAAATTGAATGTCTTGCGCGGATAGGTAGAGACAAGGATCATTTTTTACACAAAAATAAAAAAAAACACGAAAATTATATCCACATAGGTGAATAGGAAATTTGCGTATTCCTATCCTGTTCAGTGGTCAGTCATACTGACCACCCTTTTTTGTCAAAATTTCCGGGTAAAAAAAAGTCAAAAAAATTTTTTTTCACTAATTTTGAGTTATCTAGATCAAACAGGCCTTAGAAAACTCGAAATTTCAAAAAAAATTTCGAAACCCATAATGTGTGCAGGTAAGGGTAACTGAGGTCCGAATTTTTGAACATTAACTTTGAGAGAGCCACTGGACCGATTTGCATGATTTTTGTTATAAATGAAAGCCTCAGATCCATAGATTTGCAGGCTGTGATTGTTTTTTCGATTTTCTCAAATTTTCTTACTTTATCAACGAGTAAAGTTCAGCTGTTTCGAGCGGTCGTCCGGTCGCTGCCTGCTTGCCCGTCGCTACGTACCCCCCCCCCTTAACGCTCTCAGCCGTCCCTCCCGCCACGTTCCTTCGGCTATCTCCGTTTCCTTTCGTCTGCCTCTCCTCCCACCAACCGCAAAGGAGGAGGTTCGGGTCGCATCGTCCTTCGTCACTCGCCACACACACTCCTTCGCAATCTCTCGGTTGTTCAGCTTCTTGATAGGCATCCCGAGATCTTATTCCCTGCTGCTTGACTGACCCTGAGTTATTAACTGCAGCGGTGCAGGTGCGTACACTTATAGCTAACAACACGTATTTTCACAGACAGTTCATTCTTATTTGTTCTCTTCTCTTTCTAATTTTGTTTCAAATTTGCTTGGTATTTCGTTTCTTCCTCTCTCTTTACTTTGTTGGTCGGTCTACTACATTGATCGGTTTTTTCAATTGGTTGATGTTTCGCTACATACTTCCTTTCATTTATTTTCTTCCTCTTTTTTTTATACTATTTATACTATTTCGATTGGTTGATGGTATCGCCTAATTTTTTACCTTGCGCCTTTTTCCACCTACTTTTTATTCCTTTTTTTGGATTTTCTTTTATTCTGAGGCTCTATTACGCAATGGCAGAGAAATAAAAAGACCCCTGAAAATGAGCATTGCGATGAAATTAACGACGAAGTTGTTGAACTTCTTCCAGGTGACTCTAAAACGCACTTCAGTGTTAACAGGCTCATTGCAGATGAAGAGAGAGAGGCTCTCAATTTTCCCCTCAAATTCTTGGACAGTCTTGATTTTAAGTCGCTTACCACCGCATAAACTCACACTAAAGGAGGGGTTATTGTCATGCTTTTAATAAGAAACCTGAACGTTTCTTGAACGTTTATTGAATGGTACCCGATTGATCGTCCGAAAACTTTATGAAAATTCTCTTGATTTTGAAGTCATTTCCGGCGAGAAGGCGGGTGAAAGAATTTTACTGCCAAGAATTGATTTGTCACCTGCAGACTCCTCTCTCCCTTTCTCTTTTAAGAGGTGACAATTTCCAATTCGCATTGCATTCTGCATGACGATCAACAAAGCTCAGGGTCAAACACTGAGGCGAGTCCGCATTTATTTACCCCAACTAGTTTTTAGCCATGGTCAACTACATGTTGCACTCTCACCAGCTACATTGTACAAAAATGTTTCAGTTTAAATTCTTCCCGAAGGCAACTGTACAAAAAACATTGTGTACAAAGAGGTGCTTTGATCTTTTATAACTCCCTAAGGCCTAAAAGAATTTATGTTTTTACTTTATTGTTCGCAAGTATTCAATTCCTTCTCTTCTTTTCATACATTTCATTTCATTTTAAGTAAATTTAATAGTCATTGGAAAATTATTGAAAAATAAAAAAAGAATAACAAAACAGCCTAAAAAAAAAAAAAAAAAAAACTGATAATGCGGGCTTTTTATCACATTTTTTGGTAGAATAGCAGTCTCCACCCTGTAACGCAGAGAGGCAGTTAAATTCATTCATCTTCTGTCACAGAATCATCATCATTATTAAATAGATTCAACTAATTGCTCCGATTCCAAATAAGCTACTGCACCACCATTGCTAGCTGTGGAGGGCGCCCGGAACAGCTAGTTTAACTGTTAAATCAGCAATTCATTTTTTTCCGTGCTTCCCAACTGTTCGTCAATTAAACGGGCTTTCAAGTGGCAGGCTATTTTTGAGAATGGCGCCGCACCAGGGTGTCTACTGAGGTTCACAAAACAAAATTAAGTACTTTTTAAGTACTTACATAAAAAATCAAGTACCTCTCATTGGGGGAAAATTAGGTACTTTTTAAGTGCCTTTTCACACGATGTACACGATGTACACGATGTACACGATGTGTGCGATGTATCGCACTTCTTCCATAGCAATTACATCGATTAGTTTGAGTTCATATTACATAACCTAAAATTTTAATTTGACTCGTGCATTCAATTTTCTTCAAAAAAGGTACAAAATATAGGCTTCTGAAATACATGCAATTAGATGATGTAAGTACAGGCGTTAAAAAAAACAACCTAACCTATAACCATCTATCTTCCTTTCTGTTTTAAATTTTTTTTCACCTGGAATTGCCAACAATGGCATAAACATTAAGCGGATTAGGAGGA